CCCATAGCCCAAACATATGAAGTATACGGGAGATTGTTGTCACATGTACCACCTGGCTTGTGTGGATTGGAGAATCCGTTAAGGGCTCATTCATAATACTCGCACACTAAACTGGATTGGTTTAATGGTACAGACAGATGTCCGTTTTGAATGCAGTAAACTGCGGTGAGGGGGTGGCTTTTTTTTTTGTCAGGTTTATTTGAAGTGCCCAAAATGACACTTCATTCATGGCATGGTGCAGTAATGCAGTGCGTTGCGTTGTTGTGTGCTGATATGCAGTGCCTTTCTGCATGCTGAAATAAAATGCAACATGTCTGCATTTTCTGGCAGCTCATTGCACCACATCTGCAGGCTGCCTTGCAGTGTGAATGAGGGCACATAGAAAACAATTATTTTCTATGTGCCCTAGTGATGACTAGTCACCACACTAGTGTGAACAAGCTATAACTGGTTGATATAGTTTATTGCAGCTTACATTTTTTTCAGTTCCTTTAACCTTCCTGGCGGTATTCCCGAGTGTAGCTCGGGGTTAATTTCAGTACCAAAAGCAGTAACCCCGAGCAACACTCGGGATTACGCTGCAGCGATCCCTCTAGCCTTACCTTGTCCCGCGAGGTCCTCCCACTGTGTCCCCTGGCCATGTCCGCTGGCTAATGCCGGCATCCATCTTCCAGGTTTCATTCCCTGTGAACGTCGATATGCAGGGGGGCGGAATTAGCGGGAGATTCAAAAAAGTAAAAATTTGACATACACAATAAACTGTAATCTCTTAGTGTTACATTACTGTATCAAACCATTTCACCTAAATTTTGTCCTGTGCCCTGCCCTGCCTGCATTTTTACTGTTCTTTCTGCCCGGAAACTGAGAAACCATGGCGTCCAAAAAACATCCCTTTAGGTCAAAAGCGGTTTTAGACCAGCTAGAGAACAGCGATAGTAAATTAGAACCACTTGCAGAATTGAGTGATAGTAGTTTTGTGGGGAAATTCATCATCAGACACTGAAAACGTTTCTGCAACTTTGCTCAGCAATGTGCGAACTTGGTGCTCTATTTGAAATTTCAGTGTTTTTGGTTTGATTACATTTATGAATTAAATTTATTATTATATTATTATTTTTTATCATTATTTATTATATTATAATTTATGATTTCGTGTTTCAAACGTTATCATACCCGGGATGTTTACTAGACTCTTGTTTGGACAGATTTAAGTGAGTTATTCCTAAAAATTACAGGTCTACAATATAAAACAACAAAATTCCATGAAAAATAATGTACTGCTTTGACATTCAAAAATATTAATTAGTTAGACCTCCAGGGAGGTTAAAAAGGACTGTATGTGTATTTAATTAGCAGAAGGGATAATTTTCAGGCAATCTCCTAGATTGTAAGCTCCGAGGAGCAGGGCCCTCCTATGTTGCTGTATTGTCTCCCATTATATTGTAAAGCACTGAGCAAACTGTTGGCGCTATATAAATCCTCTATAATAATAATAATAATATCACTTTGCAGGAACACTGCATCTTTAGTGCATCTTTGGATATCAGGATAACTTTCTGTGCTTTTCCATCATTTTCTTATTGTGTTAATTTGCACCGGCAAAAAAAAAGGAAAAATATTCTCTATATATAAAAGATCATGGTATTTAATGGAACATTTTGGTGTATGGATATCATGGATAAAGCTCACTTAAGAACTGGAAGTAGTCCAAGCGTGACTGAGAGACAGCAATAAACTAAATTCATTTGCATCACTTGCCATTCTTTTGTCTGCTGATGACATTTTGTCATTGAGAGCCTGTCCTTTTCGGTTATCACCTTGCGCTTTTACCTGCGGATTCTCATTTCAGAATGTTTTAACTCTGTACTATGCAGTCTTTAGTCATCCAAAGGGAAAATGCATGCATAGATTGATGTAAATTCTATCTGGCACGCTGACCTTTTTTGTTGTGGAAAGATTTACTGATCTAAAACCTGCAATGCTGTATTTCTGGAAGACAGAGTTTGTGCCCACATGAGTCTCTAGAATCATCTGTACTATATACCACAGATTGCCAAAAACAGCAGCTAAAGAGAAAAGTTGGATGTGCTAGCACAGTCTCATCACTTGATGGTTGCTGCTCCAGCTTCAGCCATACACAGGAATGCCTGAGCCACATGAGTTATACCCTGAGGAAGTCACGTGATCGTGATGCAACGGGTCGGTACGTCAGTTCCGGTGACGCACTGACGCACTTCCGGTTGGATGCCATTTTTTGGCTCTATCAAAAGATCTATGCAGTACACCCATATTAAGTGGTGGCAATGCGGTTTTATCCTTTTCTACATGTGAGTGGGCAATTTTAATTTACTATTTGATGATTAATAAATGGTTTTACACGATGGAGGATGTTCTGTGCTTATATCTTTGACGGTATGGCTCTGTGGGGAGTGTGACCTGAGATTACTAGTGACAGAGGTTCCCATGCAACATCTTGGTCTGGACGTGGCTTCGTGGTGAGGTTCATAAGGTGAGCTGGCCCTTGTGGTCACTTCTTGGAGGTGAGGGGGCATTTGTGCAATTTAGGATTCATATCACCCAGTTTGAAGATCACCTACCACGAGCACACAATTGTTGATCTGCAGCCATTCTACATTTGGGATATCCACACTGATTGCCAGCACCTGTGTGATTGATATACAGTGCTTTCTGGACATTTTTATGTTCACATGTGCATCTATTATTAATTTTGGGAGTGATTACATTTTATTATTTTATTGATCACTTTTGCTGTGTCTTCACCCCCAGAGGGGTCACTTGATTATATATTATCAGTCTCCCATGTAGACTAGGGGTGGCTGGTTTGTTGGTTTTTCCCATTTCGGAAAAGGGTTCACTTGTATGAGTACAGGTTTACCTGTTCACTATCAGCAGCACTTTATTTGATCCGATTGGATCAGCACATTCAATTGTCACTTTATTCATATTTTATGCATTTTATGTTTTTGCTGTGTACATGCTCATTTTATATCTATCCTCATTTGTGATATATTGCTAGCGCTTCACCATTTCTTTGAATTATTGCATTGTACCTATTGAAGTCAGGTTAGGTGACAGCAGCTTCGTGTTAGTGTTTTTTCCCCATTTAAGCGCAGGAGGTTATTACCTCTTTTTGAGCCACATGAGTGTTCTTTTTCAGGCCATGTATATGGGGAAGGAAAGATAGAGCTTGAGAAAAGACTGAAAGGCATTGCATTACTGTGTTGCTTTTAAAGTCTTTTCAGTATATTATTTGAGCACCCACTGTATGGCACACATCTTGAGTGAGCCATTTTTCATTTGTATAATAGAAAGGGAAGATGCAGATAACATATATAGCGGGGTGCAGAAACGCTGATGCGGCTGTGCTCACTACAAAGTCACTGCTGCTATCTCTCTATTCCACTTGCCTTGCTGTCTCGCCTCTGCACACTAGGGGGAGCTGGAGAGACAGAAAGGAGTATGATGACTATGATGCAGCTGCATGGAACCCTGAGAAATAAAGTTTGTAAGATAGCTGCACTGTGGAGGTAAATACAGCTGTGAACTACAAGAGCCACAAGAACCCGTGTGAGAGAAGGGGAGAGCAGACAGTTTCCAGGGTTTTGAGACAGAGTCATTACAGCAAAGTGGTGACCAGAGCCGTACAGATCTGTTGCTGGTACCAGTCTATGCCTACACCAGAGAGAACGGTTTTTAGGTTCTTTTCGAGAGAAAGCTGTGTCTTGTAGTGCTAAAAAGACCTGAGCTGGGGGTCACAGGCCAGCGACAAGCCACTGAGGACTGAGCCAAGAAGGATCGGGTTTCTGAGGACTGCAGACAGACAAGTGCCCAGGACAAGATTTATTGTGTGCCAGGACTGATGGATGGATTCAGTTGTGCTTACTTCATTACTGTTAGTAATTCAGTACAACAGGAGACTACCCCTTTCTTGCTTAGCATCCCCAAAGCAAGTCACTGCATGCAGATGGTAATAAGTGCACCACCATACAGATTGGTCCCCACCGTTATCCTCCTGAAGTGTGCAAGTCAGGCGCCAGGTACTGTGTAACCGCCTCCCAGAGGTACACATTTTTAGGAAAATATACACATACTTATACTTTGGGGATATACACTAAGTGCCCTCTGGGATGCTGTCTGATCATTTGTTTCAGGGAGATTCCATGAGACTGTTCCTTGGCTGTTTATGCTGTTCATTTATTTATACGGTTCACGGTATACATTGTTTTTTCCAGCGCTCTTGATATTAGTTAGATATGGCTTAATACCACAGTGATATGGATTGACTGCCAGTTTATAGCTTGGTATCCATGTCAGTTAGTTCATTGCTTTCAAACAGATTAATTTACCTGTTTATTGCTTTATGCATGGCCATTTATTTTGCATTGTAATAATATGCTTACTAGGGCTGCAACTAACTTTTATTTTCATAATTGATTAGTTAGCTGATTATTGTTTCAATTAATTGGGTAAAAACCTAAAAAAATGTTTGGTGTATAATTTAGTTAATATGTCAAGTTTAAAAAAAAAAAAAAGACAATTTTTTGTTGAATATCTACAGTATATGCAGTGGTAAATACAATTAGGCGGCTATATGGTTGGGGAACAAACTGTCTAATCCACTCTGAGAATAACAGACAGAAGAGATGTATATACTATTCGAGGTTGAATCTGGTACATATCAGACTCAGAGCTCAAACTTTATATTCAAAGAAAAATTAAAATGTAAAAAGACCTAAAAGACTGTTTTGCAGATTTTCAGACAGGACTGTAATATAATATTATGCATGACAGACTACATTTTGATATAAGCTACCTGCGCCTACTGTGACTTATGCTGGCCATACACAAACCAATTTTTCATTAGAAAATTCTAGTTCTAAGATTTTCCAATCGATGGTGGAGTTAAATTGACGTTTGTTTTCGACATAGTGGCAACAAAATTCAAAGGAGTAAAACAGAAAACATTTTTCTATCGAATAAATGCTCAGACTGGGTATGTGATTTTGAAAGTTAAAAAGGATGCTGCTGATATGGGGTATAACTTTGATCAGGACGCTGGTATTGGGTATAACGGTGATCAAGATGCTGCTATGACGTATGACAGTGATCAGGGCATTGATACAGTGTATGGTGGTGATCCAGACACTGATATGACATATGGGGTGATCAATCAGAACACTGGTATGGGGTATGGCGGTGATCAGGATGCTGGTATGGGGTATGGTGATTATGAGGACGCTAGTATGGAATATGGGATGATCAGAATGCTGGCATGGGCTATGGCCGTGATCAGGATGCTGGTATGGCATATGGCTGGGATCAGAACACTGGTATGTAAACCATATAAATGCTGCGCTACATTCAAATCAAAGTGAATGTGGAATCCAATGACACAAATCCAATATAGTGACAATAATATGGAAATAAATATATAAGTGCTTGATAGTAACAAAAATCATCAAATCAAACACCCAAAAGATGAAAAAACAAACACTTAAATCTATATACGCATGTGCATAAATACACATACATATAGTTACATCACACGTGCAAATGTGAAGTGAAATAATATTTACTTATTAAGCGCAAAAAAAAGTCCAATATATAGATGTTAAAGGTGAAAAAATGTAAACGGTGTTTCCAATAATATTATAAAGTGACCACAGGTGAAACAAATCGTGCAGGTATCTGAGTGTAGATAGAACTTGTGAATCCAACCACCTTCTGGATTAGCCTCTCACCTCATCACTTCGACCCTTGCGGATCAAAGAGCAATAATGGATCCCTCTCACAGATCCTCCAGGCACCACAGCACTCCAGAAACGCTTTTCAGAATTCAATATTCCCACTTAAACTCTTCTCCAGGTATAGATGAAATATCAATCAGCCTTCCAGGTCATCATGTATTCCAAATTCAAGGGTATCGGTCATGTTAACATCGCTTGTAACCCGTAGAAAGGCTATGACCGTCAGGTTCTCATTGTATCCGCACAAAGACTTCCCCTCACCCAGGACTCTGTGACAGGATTTACACAGGTAAAGGGAAAGAATCTCGTTCCCACAAAACGGCGACGTATACGTTTTGTGGGAACGAGATTCTTTCCCTTTACCTGTGTAAATCCTGTCACAGAGTCCTGGGTGAGGGGAAGTCTTTGTGCGGATACAATGAGAACCTGACGGTCATAGCCTTTCTACGGGTTACAAGCGATGTTAACATGACCGATACCCTTGAATTTGGAATACATGATGACCTGGAAGGCTGATTGATATTTCATCTATACCTGGAGAAGAGTTTAAGTGGGAATATTGAATTCTGAAAAGCGTTTCTGGAGTGCTGTGGTGCCTGGAGGATCTGTGAGAGGGATCCATTATTGCTCTTTGATCCGCAAGGGTCGAAGTGATGAGGTGAGAGGCTAATCCAGAAGGTGGTTGGATTCACAAGTTCTATCTACACTCAGATACCTGCACGATTTGTTTCACCTGTGGTCACTTTATAATATTATTGGAAACACCGTTTACATTTTTTCACCTTTAACATCTATATATTGGACTTTTTTTGCGCTTAATAAGTAAATATTATTTCACTTCACATTTGCACGTGTGATGTAACTATATGTATGTGTAATTTATGCACATGCGTATAGATTTAAGTGTTTGTTTTTTCATCTTTTGGGTGTTTGATTTGATGATTTTTGTTACTATCAAGCACTTATATATTTATTTCCATATTATTGTCACTATATTGGATTTGTGTCATTGGATTCCACATTCACTTTGATTTGAATGTAGCGCAGCATTTATATGGTTTATATTCACTTGATCACTGGTATATGATTTAATGCTAGCAGCTGTTTTGGGGTTCATATATTTAATTTGTTTAATTGTTTAAACACAATATTTGGAGCGCAGGAGGGTCACACCACTAGAACACTGGTATGGGTATGGCTGTGATCAGGATGTTGGTATGGTGGTGATCAGGACGCTGGTATGGGGTCTGGCAGTGATCATGGTGCTGGTAGGGCTTATGGTGGTGATCAGGATGCTGGTATGGCATATGGCAGTGATCATGGTGCTGGTACGGGGTATGGCGGCGATCAGGACATTGGTATAGTGTATGGTGGTGTTTTTGAAAGCACTGGGACAGGTGACAGGGGCTGGCTGCATTTTTTATTATGGTTACACTGGGGCAGTGATCAGGGGCAGTGCCATCTCAACCTCTTCAAAATATTCTCCTTCCTAACCAATGACGCCACAAAGTTCCTAATTCACTCCCAGGTTTTCTCTCGCCTCGACTACTGCATATCCCTCTTCATTGACTTACCTTTACATAGGCTATCCCCCCCTCCAGTCCATAATGAATGCTGCTGCCAGGCTCATCCACCTTACCCAACCGTTCAGTGTATGCCACCCCTCTCTGCCAATTGCTGCATTGGAGTCCACTCACCCAACGAATTAAATTCAACTACTAACAACAATTTACAAAGCCACCCACAACTCGACCCCCAAACTACATCACTAACCTAGTCTCAAAATACCAACCAAATTGCTCTTTTCATTCCTCCCAAGACCTCCTGCTCTCTAGTTTCCTTGTCACCTCCTCCCCATGCTCACCTCTAGGACTTCTGCACCTCTCCCACCCTATGAAATTCCTTACCCCAGTCTGTCCGACTGTCTCTTACTCTGTCCACTTTTAAGCGATCCCTGAAAACTTTACTCTTCTGAGAAGCCTATCATGCTCCCACATAACTACTTTTCTTTTCTTCATCAGCTCATTCCCCAAAGTTATTAGATTTTGTATCACTTGACCATCCACTTTTACATTGTAAGCTCTAGCAGGCAGGGCCCTTTGATTCCTCCTGTATTGAATTGTATTTTAACTGTACTGTTTGCCCCCATGTTGTAAAGTGCTGCACAAACTGTTGGCGCTATATAAATTCTATATTGTAATAATAATATATTTCATAACTCACAAAATAATACCAGAACAGCCAGAATAATTACATATTTACCTCCATCAGTTGAATTGAAACGTTTCAAGTCTAAACACCCCTAAATAGACGATATGGGGAACCTCTGGAACACCTTATCCCTCCTGGGTACAGTAGACATCCAAAACATGCCATATTTATATCCATTTCAAAGCTAATTTCATGCTGGACAGTAATATGCAGGTTAGCAGACTGTAAACTATAGGTATTCAGAGGTATTCGTACTTATGGAAAACTGTACCTGGGATACAGTCATAAACACAGTGACATCCCAGAACCTCAGCCGCTTAAATGGTCAAATGGTCTCTGACAACACCCCCTTGATGCAACAGATAAGTGGACTGCAACCATAGTTGACAGCTCTCATGTACCATCAAACGAAGGAAGATTTGTCAAGTTATGAGAACCAACAGATCACCCTGCTCATTGACTGAAGTCTGCTGAAACCAGGACTTGCTAGTATTTTTATCTTCAACTCCTTTTTATTCCTCTGTTGCATTATTGTCTCTTTGTTTCTTTGTAGTACTTTTTTTTTTGTAAATATTTTATTTGCACCATTTTTCTACTTTTTCATTATTAAACCATATTTTGGAATGTGTTAAAATTGTCTCTAATGCCCTGATGCAAACTAAAAGAATCCCCATTACTTTGAAGAGCGCTAGTGTCGTATAACTCTCTGGATATACCTGTCTGTGGTGACAGTGTGTGTACACACGTTCATTTGGATTCATAACTGTCATTGCTGATATTGTGAAGGGTTGATAGGCCCAAAGCTATCTGGTGGCATTTTGGGGTGTAAAGGGTTAAGTTCTTACTTACCTTAACCCAGTGGCAATTGCTCTGTCTGTTGGCACTTAGATTGGGTCTCACAAACTGGAAAATCTTTCTGCAGGGTGAGTTTGAGAGTGTCATTGCTGCATATCAGTGACAGTGCGGTGTGAGGTTGACCAGTGATTTGTCACAGGTTGGTGAAAAGGACAGTGGTCTGACACCGCGTTTGACACACCATTCACAGAGTGAAGACAGAACAGAAATCCCATCATACCAAACGGCTCGTCTGGGGGGTAAGCGGTACACATTATTTAGCTAATCTTGGGGGGTAACATTAGGAATTGGCAAGATTTTTCTTGCATGTCAAATTAACTTTCTCCTCCAAGACCTGCCAAGCAAATTGTGGAGAACAATATTCGTTTATACAGGTATTCAGTACCTGTTGTTGGGCAAAACACAGAAGCAACAGCAAAAAATGCTGCATGTGCACTGTTGAAGGGGTGTAGGATTAAAGGTGCAGCAAATTTTATTCACAGTGTGGCTCCTTTGTGAAAAAAGGTCATAGCCTTATCCAAGAATCAACAGTATTAATACAATCTTTTGCCATACTTGTGACATAATTGTACAGATGCTGTGGTGTATTTGGTGATCAAATTGTTGACATTTGAATAAAAAGATGCACATAATTCCAGCGGTACATTTGAACAGTCATACACATATTGGTGAACTGAACTCAATGACCACCCTACTTACTTAGTAGGATTTAATCAGGATCAAAAATAACACCAATTTTGCCATTATATTATTGAGTTTTCTTCCTTTGCTTCATGTGTTAGTCATTGCGGACTATACAGAGCAAAACTATGACTTCCTTCTTCTTTGATTTAGGCTGCATTGCAGTAATACATAGCTTTTAATGCTTGTTACCACAATGCACATACCACGTTACAGTACCATTCATCTTGAAACCATCTCACCTTCAAGGTTGCAGGCACAGATACAGCATGGCTTATACTGACTTCTAATTATCTGAAAGTGATTCTGCTTTGCCCATTCAGGCCATTCAAGGTACAGGTTCACTGGATATATGTTACTGCTGCTCAAGGTAGAGAGACTCGCAATCTCCAAGCTCTCTTCCTGTGTGCTAGCCCAGCTGTAGATGAGAACAAAGGAAGTCCGATCGGCTGTCCTCCAAACAATCCACTTTATTGAACTAAGATAAAACCATTACAAATAGTGGAAATTCAGTGGGTGATTGGCAGGTAAATGCATTTCACGCTAAAGACAGAGCTTATTCATTACCAGATGGGGTAATGAATAAGCGCTGTTTTTAGCGTGAAACACGTTTACCTGCCAGTCCCCCACCGTATTTCCACTGTCTGTAATGGTTTTATCTTAGTTTAATAAAGCGGATTGTTTGGAGTGCAGCCGATCGGACTTCCTTTGTTCTAATACAGGTTCACTGGAATAATGGCACTAGCAGCAACACATAATCACCTTCCCTTCGCCACTACTACTTCACCACCGCCAGCAATGAAGAAAGATGCTAGGTACCTCTGGGTATGGGAACATGTGGTTCGCTTCCCTTCCTCCCACATGGCAGCACTGTTGCTTGGTAATTGGCCACTCAGGCATCCAGCACTGCTGCTCATAGCAGCTGAATGGAGCTGTGGCCATGGGAAAGAAATACATTAATATAGATGGGAGGGATAGACAATTTTTTTTTAAAAAGATTGTTTATTCCTTTTAAACATGTAATACAATACAGTTGCAAAAGGCATATACCTCACAAAAACATAAGCGAACCTAAAGAAATCAAATGTTTCTAGTTAGAAGATATTCTAGTTTGCATGTTAGTAGCCTTCCCAGCTTGAGAAATAGAGACAAAAGACTGATATTTTCAAGGCATCACTTGAAATTCACAGAAAAAACTGGGAACAATGTTTAACTGATTAGTGTACAGAGAGTCAGTTGGCACAGGAAGGTGTAGGATCAACAGGTATTGTTTTGCACTTTTCAAACAGATGGAACAAAACCTAACAAACGTCATCCAATCTAAGGCAAGGAATAAGAAGGTCGAATCAGGTATCCTATGGAAAAGGTACTTGCTATAAAAAAAAAGCCAAAAACACTTTCCAAATGTGTTTGAGGTGGGGGTGGGGAGAAGGAAGGGATGAGGCAGGAATATACAATCTTCAAAAGGACAGCGAAGGTCCGCTTTGGGAAGAACTTGTGGACAGGGTCTCTTCAACCAACAAGAATCTATTGGGAGTATTTCTCTATTTGCTTAGCTTGAAATTTCAAGCCCTTAACAAAAATAAATAAAACACAGAGACAGTGGCACTCATTGATTTCCTGGTGGGTACTTTACTGTCTGAAGAGGGTAGATAAATATTCCCCCCTTACATGTAGTGTTTGATTTTCATTCTGGAACAGCTCACAAGGTATAACTTTTGTGAAACGTTTAATTCACTATGGAGAGCCTGGCCAGCTCAACATGGATAAAGGCCTCCTTAGTGTTTGTTTTTCACTGGTTTGGAAATTCAGATTAACATTCTGAAACTTTACACAGGATTAGTAGGTGCTGTTCTCAATGACTTTTTCACATGGCAGTTGAAACTACAAATTAATTGATGCTGACTTATAAAACATGAGTGCAGAACATGACATGACTTTGCTAGAACATATATATTAGATTTTAGCTTTTATTCTGTTACTTGCTCTGGGAGAATAAAAAGGAAATATTATTGGATGCAATGGGCAATGCCTCCCTTGCTCCTTTTGTTAAAGTTTTTAGAACACAAAGTAATACAGTGGCTAGAAAAAGTATTCATACCCCTTGAAATACTTTTCACATATTTATTTGTCAAAATTTTTTAAAAACCATATATCATTTTCCTTCCACTTCACAATTATGTGTCACTTTGTGTTGGTCTATCACATAAAATAAAATTTGGTTGTAACATGACAAAATGTCAAGCAGTATGAATACCTTTTTAAAGCACTGTAATTAGGACTGCGTGAAGAGACTTCCAGGGCTCATTTACACTATGACTGGAGACCTGTTTTTTTCTGCACCTGATTAATGCAGGTGCAGAACCAAATCTCCACAATGGCAGATAGAAAACAATAATTTTCTTTGTGTCCCAGTCACATTAGAGTGATCAAGAGGTGTGGAAAAATGCTTAAAGTATGTCTCTACCCAAAATAGTTTTTTACTCTTTGAATAGAATTGGAAACCGTTAAAACCCAATTTCCACTGTAGATAATTTTTCG